GGCCGGAAGTGGGGGGCGGGGCTTCATCATGTGCCCCGCCCCCGTACCTCACCCGGGGGAACTGCGATCCCCCACGATCCCCCCCAAAATGACCTCTGGCTAGTAGTAGTTTTATACCCCAAATACAGTTTGGAAAATGTCTAAATGTAGTCACACTAACTGCATCGAGCAACAGACAACAACAGTTCTAGGAATGGCAATAGCACATATTAAATTATACCAGTATTAAGTGTTCTCACAATCAACATTTTTTTGTATTGTGTTTAAAATATTTGTGCAACTGCAACAGTCACGGAACATTCCAGCTCTAAAAAACAAACACCACACACCTGGTACGTCTCTACAGGCCTCGTTTCCATATTCAGATCCCAAACTTTGACAGTGAGGTAATCTCTTGCTAACATATATCGGCCACTGTGGCTGAATTTGACATCTGACACAGAAGAAATAATTTCGGAGAAAAAGGATCGGCTGCACGGGTCTTCTGGTTCTTCATAAACTGTGGAGCACAGGAAGAGGAAAAGTGTGAAGACGACTACGCAGAGATGCTCACAGCTGTCTTTCATTCCCCCCCTGGCCTTTTCAAACTGTCCAAAGCAGCAGACACAAAGTTTTTCAGCCCTGATGGAAAGGAAGCTGCTTGTCTCCATAATTCTGCAAAGAAATTAGTCAGGTGGGAACCCTCCAGGTATGGCAGGCAGGTGGGACAAAGATCAATGCCACGCTACTAGATGGGGACCCAATGTTTGTAACAGATCCCACAGTTCCAAGGGTGAACCTGTTATCTTTAAGTTTGAACTGGCAGGTCTTACAACAACCACTGCATAAAGAATTAGACCAACAAAGCCAGAATAGTACCCAGAAACAACCTGCTATGAGATTGACCCAAAAGAGACCACACAACGCCACTGATGGTCACCTACAGCTCCCAGCTCAAATCAGTTCAACATATTATCCAGGATAGGCTGAAGATCTTTGAAAATGATCTCTCTCACCCACCCACAAGCCTTGGGTGGCTGGCAGGCCCTTCCTTGCCTACAGACAGTCTCTTGACCTAAAACAACTTCTCCCCATCTAATGGAGAGACAAACTAAGGTAACAGACCCTGCAACACACCTAGACACCCACTCTGACACCATCTAAACTCAGGCAATACTATGAAGGGACCTGATAATAACTTTTCCATCTCTGGTTCATCCTCTTGCTCATCCTCCAATGTTAGATATGTCACTATGTATCAACAACACCCTTCTGGTCTCTGTGTTGGACAAACAGGCCTGTCCTTGTGCAAAAGATACAAAGCATAGTATTCAGAGACCAGCATTTCAGTCTACAGGGCATTCTGTCAGTGACCTGAAAAGTCACTATTCTCCTCCAGAAGAACTTCAAAAAGCAATTGCTAAATTAATATTCATCAAGAAATTTAACACTGTCTCTCAGCCAGAATTAGAAGGGACCCAAGATTTCTGTGTCATTTTAAGGTCTAAATATCTTGCATTTCTTACCCCATAAGTTATCGCTTATTCCAGCTATACATCTCTGACTTCCCATTGTGTCTGTTTAGCACACCAGTCAACCAGTTACTTTTGGATCCGACCTTGTTTTGAATTGGCCTGTCTTTCTAACATTTCCCTTTCTATCCCCATTCTGTTGTGTATATAAAATGGGGCCTGATGGATTTTTTTTTTTTTGAATAAAAGATTTTTATTTTCCATTAATCATACAGTATCCATCTTTTTCTCACTCGGTCAAAAATCCAATTTTCCCTCCCTCCCCCAAAAGGCTTCCCGCAATGCGTCCCCCTTATGTCACATATAATTAATAAGTTCAAGATAACATCATGTACTTAATATTGTTCTAGATATAGTAAATTATGTTTCACGTCCCACTTTTCTAAATATGTTTTAAAGTCACTCCATTCTTCAAAAAATTCCTGGTCTTCTTCATTGTTCAGTTTTCTTGTTATTTTGTCCATTTCGGCCATGAACAGAACTTTTTGTATCCATTCTTCTAAGTCTGGTATTTTTTCCTGCTTCCAATATTGAGCATATACCATTCTTGCTGTTGTTGTCAAATACCAGAACAATGTCCTTTTTGTTACATTTAGTTCTTCCATTTTTAAACCTAAGAGCAGAATTTCAGGTGCTTTCTTAAAAGAACATTTAAAAAATTTTTGCATTTCACAATGGACTTTTGTCCAAAAGTCCATAGCTTTTTCACATGTCCACCACATGTGGTAAAATGAGCCCTCATGTTTTTTACACTTCCAGCATTTACTAGACATATTCTGATTCATATTTGCGATTTTCTTAGGTGTCATGTACCATCTATACATCATTTTATAACAGTTTTCTTTTACATTGGTATATATTGATAGTTTCATAGAGTTTTTCCACAAATATTCCCATGTTTCTATAGTTACTTCCTTATTCATATTAACTGCCCATTTTATCATTTGTTCTTTTACAGATTCATCCTCCGTAAACCATTTCAACAATATTTTATTCATTTTAGAAACCATTTTCCTCCCCCCACTTTCCCAAACAGTTTCTACTTCGTTTCTATCTTCTCTAAAACCATAGTTTTTCTTATCCATTTTAAAAACATCATAAATCTGCATATATTTTAACCATTCATAGTTATACTGAATTTCATCCTGCCCTTTCATTACCCATTCTGTTCCTTGCTTCGTAATTAAGTCTCTATAAGGCAACCGGGCCTGATGGATTTATACTCTTATGCATCTGAAAACTCTCAAAAACTTTCTGCTGGAGGAAATTTTGTTAGTCTTTAAGATGCCTCCATATTCCTGTCCTATTTCGCTGTTACAGACCAACACAACTATCTGTCTGCCGTCTGAATCCCACAAAAGACATACTGAGCAAGACGTTAATACCATTTGCAGTACTCATCTTTAAAAAACATCATTCTTGCAAGACTTTCTTGAATCAAACACTGACCGAAAGATATGCAGGAACCTGCAGAATCGTTAGTCAGTTGTCTGATGAGGAGAGGGAAATGTTGAAAAGTCTGGGTAGGGTACAGAGGGCACCATATCAAAATATTAATGAACTACAAACATTAAAAGTAGACTGAAAGAAAGAAAAACTACCAAGAAAGTAGATGCACACCTTTAAATATCTCTTTTAAAATTCTCGGCACTCAGGAAAGCAGGGACTTAGCAATTATCCTGTCAGGATTTCAATGGCAGCCAGATGAATATAATGCAATTATCTCCTCTCTCCCTCTCCGCCCCCCCCCCACACCCCTCATCACTTCAATAATTCTGAGCCAAGAATGACAAAAATTCTCATAATTATTACATGCAGTTATTGCTAACACCGAAAGGTACAGAGAGGAAGAAAGATAGTTCAGATGCACTGTTCGTTTTCATGACGTTGAGCTTTTCTCCTAGCTCAGGTCCCCACTAGGGTTGGACACGAACCGGAAAAATGGAAGCTCATGGAGGTCTGTTGTTTTCACGGACCCCCAAACCATGAACTTCCAGAAACGTCTCCATTGCATGAACCGGTTTGTGATTCAGGAAAGTTCGTGAGGCCACAGCCCCACTCAGACATGCGCTCCAAAGGCATTTAAATGCCTTCGGAGCTCACCTCCGGGTCGGGTTAGCCCAACTGAGCTCCGAGAGCAAGCTCTTTCATAGGCCTTCTGAGCTCACTCTCGGAGTCCAGTTGAGTCAGGCGGCCCAACTCAACTAACCTCTCAGAGTGAGCTCTGAAGCCTTCGGAACCCCTATAAAAGCCGTCAGAGCTCACTCTGGGTGCTGAGTTGGGCCGTCCAACTCAACTGAACTCTCAGAGCTCATTCACGCCAGCCCAACCTGAAGGTGGGCTCCAAAGGTATTTAAATACCTTCAGAGCTCCCTTCCGGTCAGGCGGCTTGACCCAGAAGTAAGCTCCAAAGGCATTTAAATGCCTTTGGCTCTCACTTGTGTTGGGCCACAGGCTGGTGGTGGGCTCTGACAGCATTTAAGTGCCTTTGGAGCTCACTTCTGGTCAGGCCACCAACCCGGAAGTAAGCTCCGAAGGAATTTAAATGCCATCAGAGCCCACATGAACCCTCCCACGAACCTCTATGGAGGTTCATGGGCAGATCGTGGGAGACTGTTCTCCCAATCCCCTGGTTCACAAACCATGAACCGGCCTGGTTTGTGCTCAAACAGGGATTCACTTGTGTGTTTGTGCCCATCCCTAGTCCCCACAAGTTAGGACAAAGAGATGGGCCTGCAAATCCAAGATGTAGGATTCAGTAATCTTCTTGTGCTTATAGTCCCCTCATCAATGGCCTATCTGCTCCTCCCCTAGATTCAGGAGATCTGTTTCCACCTATGAATGGGTCAAGTATTGCACTATTACATTGTTTTAATCTCCTTGATGTTACAAATTCTGACCAGTGCCAGTTCAGCACCAATGCTTCTGCTTCTCATATTGCATATGAGTGCAGAATCCATTGTGTGCTTTTCCATGAGACCCTGTAGAAAGTATTTATGCCAGACTGAGATCTGGGAGACGTAGGTTCAAATCCCCACACTGCCATGAAACTCACTCGGTGACCTTGGGCCAGTCACCCACTCTCAGCCTAACCTACCTCATAAGATTGTTGTAAAGATAAAAAGGGGAAGGTAGAGTGACATATGGCATCTTGAGCTCTCTGGAGAGGGGGTGGGATAAAAATGTTATAGAGAGAGACTCTGGCATGGTTTTATGCATGATGAGTCTCTTTGCCAGACTGCCCCAGAACAGTTCCTGAATCTCAGTGCCCAGAGTGTGTGGGTGATAGAGAAAGCAGACACAGAGGATGAACTGCAAAAGTCTTCCAGCTGGTATCTACCAGAAATATCAAAATGAAGGGAAATTTCCCTGAGGTGGGCCATTGTGTATATATGGGTCTCACCCAGTGTTCCCTCAAAGCTGCACCAGCCTGAGCTGGTGCACAAATTCCCAGCTTCCAGTGCACAGATCCTCGGCTGAGCACAGAGTGACAAAACTCTCCCCCACCTCCCTCCCCAGGGCTGCTGCTGCACCTCAGCCCGCCATGCCCGCCTCCCTCCATTGCATGGGGGGAAGAGGCACAAAGCCAAGCCTCCCCGCCCCCCACCAGCCAAGGTCTCCTCCCTCGGGGAGGAAGGGAGGGTGAGCTGCCAGCCATTTAAAGTGAACAGCTGACAGGCGGATCTGCCTGTCAGCTGTTTGGTTTAAAGGGTGGGAAGTCATTTCAGTGCTCCCTTTTGCTTCCCCCCACTTGGAAGGGGGGAGCAAAACAGAAAACTCTAATGGTTGCCCACCCTTTAAAGCGAACAGCTGATCGGCAGACCTGCCATGATATTGGCTTTAAAGGGCAAGGAACTATTTCAGTGCTCCCTTTAGCTTACCCCACTTGGAAGGGGGGGAGTGAAATGGAGGAGTTTAATGGCTGCCTGCCCTTTAAAGTGAACAGCTGACAGGGGGCCCTCTCTTTCTTTTTTCTTTCTTTCACTCC